CCCCCTATCACAAGGGGTGGGGGCTGTAACCTTTTGTGAGAAATTCACTTTTTAGCTTAAGCACAAGAGACTATAGCCCCCACCCCTCGTGATAGGGAGGTCTGGGAGACGAAGCCCCCCAGTTACATAACTAGAGATAAATGATATGATAGATTTTCTAACCTAACACGCCCTCAACTTTGTCTATTAATATCTCGCTTCGCAGTAGAGAGCGACGATTTTGTCGGAGGAAAAAATTGTTTGGCATACAAAAACGTGTCGATTGAGTCTATTTTCATCGAAATCGGAGGTGTTGCCGCTAAACTAAATAATTATCAAAACCACAATTTACACTCTACATCACAAATAGTAGTACGAAAATCGGAGTGAGTCCCAGATGCGCACATTGACAAACGGACACATCCAATCATATGTCGTTGTTTATAGAGTCTCTAGAATATCTCTAGGCATATGGCGTTGTGGTTGGATGTGATAAAAACGAAATAAAAACACAAATATTTTCTACAAAACTATTTTTTATTTCTCATCAGTTGCATATCCATTGCATAAACAAACGATACATAATTAAATGATGATAAAATAAACGGTGCACATCATTCTGTGTCCAAATGAACAGCAGACAACTGGACGATGTCCAAGTGAACGGTGTCCAAATGAACAGTGCGCATCCTTCTGTGTCCAAGTGAACAGTGGGCGATTGAACGGTGTCCAAGTGAACGGTGTCCAAATGATCGGTGTCCTAATGAACGGTGTCCAATTGAACGGTGTCCAAGTGAACTGTGTCCAAATGAACGGTGTCCAAGTGAACAGTGTCCAAATGAACGATGTCCAAGTGAACAGACAAGCAATTCCACGGTGTCCAAGTGAACGGTGTCCAAGTGAACGGTGTCCAAATGAACGGTGTCCAAGTGAACGGTGTCCAAGTGAACAGTGAGCATCCTTCTGTGTCCAAGTGAACTGTGGGCACTTGAACGGTGTCCAACTGAACTGTGTCCAAGTAAACGGTGTCCAACTGAACGGTGTCCAAATGAACGGTGTGTAACTGAACGACGTGCATTTTCTTTCGTGTCCAAACGCACCGTGTCCAATTGAACTGTGTGTCAAATGCCGTGTCCATTTGCAACGTGTCCATTTGCAACGTGTCCAATTGTACTGTGTCCAAGTGCACCGCTCCCGTTACGGCGAGGTTTGCACAAAATACGTGTACAGAATATCGACGAAGAAAGCACATGCAGTTTTCTACCATTTAATTCGTGCGTAGTCAATAATCTCACAAGAACCGGTTTGCGAACCTGTCAACCAATTTCAGTATGTATCACACTTTTAATTTATCCCATCTTTAAGCTACTCATTAATGATATGTTTTTCATTATATTATTGCGCTTGCTCGTGCAATCATATCTGGGAGTAGGCAAATAAAGCACACGTTCTTAAGAAAATAAATAATCATTTAATTGAGTTATTTACAAACTCTAGCCTAAACAAGCGAATTTTTTTAAATCTTACGGCCCGACTTTTCGAATGTCAGCTCGCCCCGAGAGCTCGTGAGGAATGAATTTAGTTTTCCAGGATTCGTCAGAACTTGACCTCGCTCTCCACAAATAACTCTCGAAACCCTGTCCCCGAAAACGCGGGCGCAACAATATTAAGATATAATAAGTACAATTCCTTTTATTCTAATGTTGGTTTTCTCATTTCAGCTAATGTCTGAAATATGAGAAGTCTAAAGTCCTTATTCTTTAGGACGTCTTAAATACATCTTTAAAAATTTCTTAGCCAATAAAATAATTCGTACGGATGCTGTATAGATAATTTTGCTGCCTGAGATGTATTTGAAGATGTATTTAAGATGATTTTTAAGTATAAGGATGAATTATAAACAAGTTTAGTGTACATTCATTACGCCCTAGTGCATTCAATCGAATTTGCCATTAGTAACAATTTCCAATACGCTAAAACTAATTACAAAATAAGTTTTCCCCTCTCTCTCTCTCTCTCTCTCTCTCTCTCTCTCTCTCTCTCTCTCTATTTACGAGTACATTTCCATATTTTCATGAATGTTTAAATATATTATATTAATTTTGTTTATATTTATGTTTAAATATGTTTATTAAAACATTAAAAATCATTAAAATTGTTTTTTTATTCGAATTTATATACATTTAAAAGAACCTGGTGAAGAAAGTTGTAATCTGATGATTTTTGAAGCAGAAATGTGATGAAAAAATTTTTAAAGCCGCGGCAACACTGGTTGACATAGAAGAGTCAGCGCGCGGTTTTCTATCGAGTTGTACCGCGGCAGATTGTGGCGAGTGGTCGAGTTGAGTACATTGGCTGACGGATGCAATAAAGCATCGAGTTGTTCGGTATGAATAGAATTGTTTGAAGATCACTGAGATGATCCCGATCGGTGATTCTAGATATTGGAAATGACTAAGGTGAAAAATCAGCAAGAACAAACGATTATCCACGGGGTGGAGGGGCGGCGCATTCGCGGGCGGGGAGGGGACGCCACCGCTGGCGTTCCCTCCCCCGGGGTACCCGCGCGT